AGAGGGCTGCAGGAGACCGTCGCAGCTGAAAATGGGGCCCGCTTCATTTTTGCTGGGCCCAGGTGGGTCCTGAGCTTTGTTTTCACTGGCAAAGTGCTAGCCAAACAAAGTCCTAGCAAAATTGAACCACACCTCCAGCTCCACCTGGGGCCACCACAGGTGCCCCTAACACGAGTGACATTGAGCTGGCCACACCCACCCTGGCCATGCTCACATGGCCAGGCCAACCTTCCCCCAGAGGTGGGTTGCTCCTGATTCGGCCCGGTTCAGCCGAACCGGTAGCGGAACTCAGGCCTGGGTTGCAGAACCGGCAGCGACCTAGGCCTGCCATGCCCCCGAACCCATTCCCACGCTGCCACTGGGCCGCCACCCTTTTGGTTTTTAGTGACTGTGCGTGCACAGTTCACTGTAAGTTGTTCTACGCCTGCGCAAAGAACAATTTACATTGAACAATGCACTCACGCGCAGCATGCATCGGGTGCGCTTGGGGAGGGGGTTGCAAACCTGTAATAAAACTGGCAGCAACCCACCCCTGCCTTCCTTCCAAAGTCAAACACAACCCTCATGTGGCCCTCAGTGAAATTGAGTTTGACACCCTTGGTCTAGAACAGACTTTTCAAACACAAGGCCTGTGGGCCAGATCCTGGGTATTCTTGGGCTACTGCAAGTGAATGCCCAGGTTCCTGGGAACAGGGAAAGGCCCTGTACTTTTATCACCCCCAAGACAACCTCTAATAACTCTCTTAAATGAGACCGACCTGGAGCATTGAGCTCAAAAGTATCTACTGTGAATTGGTATCTCGAAGGATTCTCTCTCATTTTTCAGCATCTCAAGCCCTGGAACAGAACTATACCTCTGTCAAAATCCGGCCCCTGATCCATGGAACGAGACAGTCGAAAATCAAGGCGCTTCAGCGACCAAGTAAGATATGTAACTGGTTTGGCATGTCTCCTCCTAAAAGCAGTGGGAGACCTTGTTTGACTTCTGTGCAACTAGAGGTGGCTTTGTGTCTAGCGATGACTTGCCAACACCAGGGAAGTTCTTGTAGGAGAATAGAATAGAATGGAATGGAGTAAGAACAGGAACAGAACAGAACAACAGAACAGAACAAATTTTTATTGGCCAAGTGTGATTAGACACACAGGAAATTTGTCTTCGGTGCATATGCTTTCAGTGTAGATAAAAAAATTACATTCACCAAGAATCATAAGATACAATGCTTAAAGATAGTCTTAGGACACTAAATAAGTAATCAAATTATACTAGAAAACTAAATAAAACAGTATAAACCATAAAGATACAAGCAACAGGTCATAAGTGGGCGAAGATAAGTAATAGGAAGGAAGAGAAGAATAATAGTAATACAGGCTTAGTAAATAGTTTGACAGTGTCGTGGGAATTAGTTGTTCAGTATCAAGTTGTTCTGGTTGTGTCTAGTTGCAGTGCCCTAGAGCATCGTTTGGGTAGATGGGCCAAAGGAAGGACCAATTTTTCCTTTGTTTGGTTTCTGTGTGCAAAGGAGGAAAGCACCTTTTCCACCTGTCATTTCTAGAAGGTAATGATTTAAAAATAATTTTGCTAATAAACTTGTGTCCTGCATTTGAGATGTTGTTCTCTCCGGTAATTTCACAGGTGGCACAGAAACAAAGATGGCTAAGAAACTTCTGAACAGGCTAACAATTTTTCTGGCTGTCTCACATCTAGAATATTTGGAAAGTAGTTAGGTCTTGTTTAGTTTAGGGAAACAGTTAAGTTGGGATTTGTTGAGAGTATCAATGGTAATAATAGTGAGTGATGCGGTGGCCTAGAGGTGGAGATCTTCCCTCACAATCAGGAGGCTGTGAGTTCAATCCTAGGTAGAGGCAAATATTTCTCTCTGGGCACAATGAGTATTTATCTGCTGAACAAAACTCCGTATTGGCGACAGGAAGGGCATCTGGCCAGTAAACACTTTGCTAGCTTCATTCAGTTGACCAGACTTCACCCCTCAAAGGATTATGGGGGTCATTAAAAGAAGATGATGATCGATTATCATAATAGGGTAAAACTGCTTCAGAAAAGCTACTTACTTTTAGCATCCTGGGAAGCAGTCTTCACTGCTATATAAAGGAACTATGTGTGAAAGTTTAAAATGTCATGGCCCTTACTTTTGAAACTGATGTCTGGAAGAACGACTGTAGTTTAATATCAAGATTTGAAGAACTTTTTTGATATATATTTGTTGATAAATATAACAACGAGAAGATGTTGTAAGAAAATAGATTAACAGAGTTGGAAGGGACCTGGTAGGTCATCTAGTCCAACTCCCTGCCCAAGCAGGAGACCTTGCAACACCATTTCTGACAGATGGCAATCCAGTCTCTTCTTGAAAGCCTCCAGTGATGAAGCTCCCATGACTTCCGAAGGAAAGCTGATATGATAAACTACGACTTGTTGGCAGTGTGATTGGTGACCAAACAAGAATCAAATTTGAATCTAGTTCTAATTTGGTCGGTTATGACTGAATTGAAACAAGCAGTAGTTCATTGCATTAATGGTATAGTGGTAAACTGTAGTTTACTGAAAAGCATATGATTAATTTGCTTTAGAACCGAATGGGGGGAAATATATGAACCCAAAGTTCACTCAGCTTGTTCATCTAGCTCAGTGGTTCCCAAACTTGGCAACTTTAAGACTTGTGGACTTCAACTCCCAGAATTCTCCAGCCAGCTCTGAATTCTGGGAGTTGAAGTCCACAA